TATTTGTATAAAAACAATAATTCTGATTTTAGGATAAAAATGATATATATATATATATATATATGACATGTATGATGTATACATACATAATTAAACCAAACCACTCTCAACAGTAACTTAAGGCTTTATTAACAAGATACTTGTTCTTCTCCAACTCATTCGCCTGTTATTCTGTGCAGAAAGTAAAGTATTTTGGTTTATTATATATATGCTTAATAGTGACTTAAATTGTTGGGTTTGTGTTTTCTAATACAGTTTATCACTAGATCTCGAAATAAAATTGTAGAAATTTACTATAACTAAGAAAGATGGAAGTTGCCATTTACTTCAAGAATTGTGAATTTTCAAAAATATGTATAACATAAACTTGCACATTAGCTGTTGACTGGGACAACGTGGATAAATTCGACTAATGACTTCGAAGAAGAATATAAACCACATATGGAATAACTGTATAATACGTCACATATGAACATTTTAAAAAGAAAAGCAGAAGTAGTTATTTTATTAGAATATGTTATTTTCCATGTATTTCTTATTCACAGATATTTAACCATTTTAGTTACTTTTGACACGTTATTCTGATATTCCAAGCTCACATCTAAAGTTGAAAAGTACTTATTTTAAATGTCTGATTCCTACCTTCAGGTTCTATGTTGTTTTGTTTTTTGATATAATAGCAAAAGAACTTAGAAACTATAAAAAAAATTATGTATAGCTTACCCCTACCCACCCATCCCACACACAACTCTCTAGACAAAACTGGTACAAATTGAGCATCTTTGAGAGAAAGCTAACAGACTGTGGGTACACATGTTCAAGGGGTGTACCATTGGAATTATTTTGAAATTTAAGGAATTTGGTAATGTTCCTACAGACAGCTAACAGACTGTGGGTACACATGTTCAAGGGGTGTACCATTGGAATTATTTTGAAATTTAAGGAATTTGGTAATGTTCCTACAGACTACATAACAGACCAATCATTTTCTATCTCTATAACATGTACAAAGTTTCATCTTTAGGAAAGTGGCGTTTTGGATAGATCTGGAGCAACCAAAGATTTTTTTTATCTTTAAATAAGATATTTCCATTTTACACATCTCTATTATCCTGTGTAAAAATTACACATCTAGACCTGTATCAAACGCTAATAATAACACACAAAACGTTGGGATTAGGACAAATGTGCCAGGAGATTGCAGAATAAACTCGTGACGCGCAATCTTCGTGTTTGATAAAAATATTCCAACTCCAATATATACAGATAAATCGGGAAATCTAAATCATTAAGGAAATAATGAAAACTTTCAACAAACATTAATCCGAATATTACTTAATAGATTGTTAATCTTGACTCAGTTTGGTTTGTCAAAAACACATTCTTAACTGTTTGGTCTTCATAGACTTCAGGAATATTTATATTGAGTATCCACATGTTTTCTCTTCCCAGAGTATGCGCAATGACGATAAATTGGCAGACAGTCAACAGCCTCGAAAGCGAAGATAACCATACATTTTGGCCCAAATTGGATGCAAGTTAACTTACCTCTATTTACCATGAAGGAAATGAAGCTGTATCAACTGATTTTCAAGCTAAACTCTTAGTTGCCGCTATATAACCTATTGCGAGTGATGTTGTTGCGCCAATAAAACCACACCTGTATACACACATTTGTTTACATTGAATAAAATCATTACCTGCTCAATCCTTTCCCGGAGAGCAATAAACGGGCGAGTGGGGAACAAGCGATCATAACGAAGGTTAATATATTAATACTAAACAATTCATACATTAGTTTTTATGGCAAAGCTACTAAGGCTACCTGCCGCCGTCCTTAATTTAGAAATACCGACTAGAGGGTAAGTAATTGGCCAGCAGCACCTACCACAAACATTTTTGGCACCGAGTTTCGATCCCCCGATATGCAGATTGCGAGTTGAGTGCCTTAACCACCAGATCATACCAGAACAATTCATATATACCTGCCGCATAATAACTTATAAAATATTTGATTGTCTCACATCAAAATTGGTAAACATTGAAAAAAAAGTGTCCACTTACACGAAAACCGTTTCGCTTTAAACAGGGTAAAAATCCTGAGAAATCTACCAGCCAAATTGTTTTTATTTTTTTCTTTGTATTAAAGGGTTTGTTTACGTTAGAATTTTCATGCAAAGCTACACAACGGGCTATGTCAGTAACTTTTATAACAAACGCAGGCCGATAGTGCGAAGCAAGTTTTGGCAAGCAATGGGACGTGAACTTTGAATCTTTTGATTTACAGTGTGGGTGAACTAACCACTAGGTTGGATACGCTTAAAATTATACTAAAGTGAGGAGGAACATCAGAAATAAGAACGTTGTGAAAACAGGTATACAATAAATGGTAATGTGTTTTTTATACTATCAAATGGTAACACATGAAATATTTCATTACTCGTGATTCTCATTAAAATAGATAACCATTTATTAAGTAAACCTCGCGTATTTTTACAAATTTTATCTCTCTTAATCAATTACAGACAATAAAGAAGTCGCAAAAAGACGGGAAACATGCATTTGTAACTTAAATGTATTTTTCTATTTTTTGTGCTTTGTTCGTTTGCTTTTAAGTGAAAAGCTACATGTCCAACACGGGTATCGAACCTAGATTTTTAACGTATAAGCCCTCAAATTTACCGTGGAGCCACTGGAGGCTTTTTATTTATGAAAAAAAAAAGAGGACAGAAATCTCGCATTTTAAGTCAGTGATGAAAGCATATCAAACTTTTAAAATAAACATTTAATATTTAGGAAATAAATGTAAGTCTGTGATTAAAAAACTTGGCAAGATACTATTGACTCATTAAAATAACAATGCACTCGAAGTCCGAGAAAGCGTTGAAGCATGAACAAAGGCTTGAGTTTTCTGGAAAGGGTTCTTCTTCATTAAAAGCAAGAACGTGTCGTTTTAACATAATATTTATAGTTTTAATTTTCGTGATAATAGAATAACTTTAAAATGCTGACATGAAGGCCCAAACAATCACGAGACCAGGAAAATGAACTGTTTTTACAAGCGAAATTGGCGGGAAACCAGAAGACAAGTGGATGAAAATAGTATTAGAACAGAAATACAGTCTAAAAAACAAAGATGCAATATGAATTTATACAGTGATTTAATTCAGAAAATTGAAGTAGTCTAGAACTGGTGAAGTATCCATTAATGTTAAAGCAGTATTAGTAATAACTTACTAATAGCTCTTAAATGTTTTATATATTTTAGTTGCCCAAATGACATCAGGGGGCGCTAACAACAGAAAAATTCAATGTCTGTTTCTTTGTTTTAAATTTCGTGCAAAGCTACACATGACACCTAGTAATCACCAACTTTTGGGCTACTCTTGTATCAACGAATAGTGGGATTGACTGTAACATTATAATGCCACCACGGCTGGAAGGGCGAGCACGTTTGGTGGAAGGGGATTCGAACGCGCAACCCTCAGATTGCGAATAAAGCGCCCTAACCACCTGGCCATGCCGGGACGTTTAATCTTATGTACCAATGTACTTTTAAAATTTCTCTTTCTTTTTTTTAAACAACGTACTAGCTGTTGTTTGTTGCTGTTAAGCACAAAGCTACATAATGGGCTATCTATTCTTTGGCCACCGCAGGTATCGAAACCCGATTTGTGAGCGTTATAAAACCTCAGATTCACCGTTGAACCACCGATGGGGCTAACGGCTGTTAGAAGTAAAACAAACACTCATGGCATATGAATATCTGAAAATAAAACTACTATCAGAAGCTTTAGGAAAAGAATCTGTAAATAGGAATTGCCCAGTTATGTATATATTAATCTGAAGTCCTGCATTTTGATATAATATATAAATGTTTTGCAAAAAACATCCAAAAGTGCTTTAAAAATTGATTACAGTTGAAAATAATAATAAAACTACATTAATAGAAAAATCTTATAACTAACCCCTTGTTCAATTAAATTGTTTAAAGCAATTAAAGCTAGTAACTGCTCCAAACGTGTGTGTTATAAGTAATCAGTTCTTTGTTAGAAGCGCTTGCAAAAATATATAACTTAATGTACTTTATTGGATTAAAAAACTATGAACTTCCATGTGTATGTAACACATAGAAATATGTCAGAAATCAAATAACCGTAGCACACAAATCTAACACTGAAAATAGCTTAAATTATTTTTAGTCTGTTTGTCCCAGACGTTTATCGTCACGTAGATTTTAGCTGTCTTTATAAAATTATCACTCAGTAAGTCTGAAATAAATAGTTAATTGAATGAATTAGGAGACATTGTGCCCCACCCCCGCAGTGGCTCAGCGGAAAGTCTCAAAGTTTATAACACTAAAAACCGAGTTTCGATACTCGTGATGGGCACAGATAGCCCATTGTGTAGCTTTGTGCTTAGCATCAAACAAACAAACAAATTATAAAGAAAGACATTGTATTTGTTAAACATGTACCTTTATCAGCATTTGAGAAATTCTTTCTCTGATTATGACTCTTCCCACGGACCCACTTTTGTCCTATAAATCAAACTACAAAGAGAGGAGGTTGTGATACCTTTGTGGTAATATTTTTTACGAAAATACTGAGACCTATTCTTGTATATTAAAACGCTCTCTGGCTCTTTCCTGGCTTAAAATAAAGTTCATGTTTGCTGAAATGTTCTAGTAGAGTGGTTTTCATTTAATTTCTATTTTCCTATCAAATATAATAAACAGAGAAATTGGCGGTAATGAGGAATGTGAATTAATCATGTCTGTTTCAGAGTATTTCTGTCAAATATTTATAAACGTACATATAGGGAAGCACGTGTCTCTAATCACCCAATTAGAAGTGGATTATAACAAGTTCTTGATGAAATCTAAAAGAATCAGAACCTTATATTTCAAGTTTAGTGCTTTATTATAAACACACGCACAAATATATATATATATATATATACACACATACGATTGCAAAAAGCAAATACAAACAAACTAGGTAATACACAAATAGACCATTAGAAAAAAAGCTTAACAAAATGTTCAACTGTTTGAAGTTTAACCAAATATATGTACCTTAAACCATGACAGTTTAAGAAAATTAAACCCAGTTAGAAGACAATACAGTGCATAATGAAACAAAAATATTGTTGTTCTAACACATTAAATTGGCTCTTACTTCACATATTGGAATTTTGGATTAAGATGAAACTCAGTTCATTTGAAACATAAAATAAAGTAACAAATAAGTTTACTTTAAAGCTTTCATTATTAGTGACACATTAAATAAGAATTGTGACAACCCTAGCTGGAATACGTTCTGTATAGCCTGCTTGGTGGTTTGTGACCCCTTCACCCCAACAGTTTATTTTCCATTTAGACGAGACCCAAATTCGTAAATCAAAGCATTTGCCCTTTGCACAACATCATCAGTTAAAAATAAAGCGTCTTCAATTCCAATGTTGTCGTTGACATTGTAAAACTCAGATGCTTTGCCACAGGGCACGGCCTCTTCTGGGAAAGCACAAGTAAGTGTAAGTTGGTTGAAAACTGTCTGGTTTCCACAGAAGAAACTATAATGAGAAACAATCTGCTCTCCATTGGGCAGCGTTTGAGGAAGGCAAACGTGGAAAATCTTACAGTCGTTTTCTATGTCAGCGTAGTATCCATAATTGTAACCCTCGCAGCTAAAACTTGTAATTATCTGTTTTTTTATTATCTCATCTGCTCCAGCTGGAAGATCATAGGCCTCACGTTTTACCTGTTTAATAGTAAAATATGAAATAAAAATATAAATCAACTTAAATTCATAGTAATAGTTTAATGACAGTTACATATAAATAAAATATAATCTAATATTTTCATATCACTTTTGCTATAAGTCCTTCAGGTTTGGCTAACAAAGGAAAAAAAAACATTACCTAATTCTTACGATATTTACGATTACCATATTGGATATATTTGACATGATGTTAAAGTGTCAATTCGAACCTACTCTGAAGTTTTGAATAGAATACAGCTCTACTAACACCATAAGACTAGATGAACCAGGCAGCAACTAGATCTCATTGAACAAAAAATAAAAAGGTAAATCGTTTATTTGACTAACAATGTGCAATATTTACTCCGCAAAAGTTTCAAATTACAACGTATTGCATAAAAATCCGAGAGTATATTTTGTTGCAACTAAAATTTATAAGATTAAAAAATCCAGATATGGTTCTCTGCTACATACTTACACAAAATACTATCACATTTTATAAAGTTTCGCTGTTTGTTGTTAAGCACGAAGCTACACAAGAAGCTATCACTATCAGTGCTATGTCCACAGTGGGTATCGAAACCCGAAGTTTAGCGTTATAAGCAGTGGCATTTTTATAAGGTAAATATTTTAGTACATAAATCATAACTTACCCGTGGAAATGAAAAAGTAATCGCCAAGAACATTGAAGCTACAGAAAAAGAACAAAAAAAAGAATATGTAAGCATATTTTTTCTTAATTTTTTTACAGTTATTTTGTAAGCATGTGAAAGGCTTAAGGAATGTATTTACTATAGAAAAAAATGGACAAAACCTTGTTGAGTTATATTTTACCGTTTTCGTTTTTTTAAGATATTTGGTTTTGCATGATACAGGCATTATTTCTGTACCAATTTACATTTATAAACGTTTATAGTTCAAGTAACTCGAAATTGGACGATAATTTTTCAAAAGTATAATGGTGAAAGAACATTCACTGAAACTTACCCACAAAAAACACGTATTTCATCATTGCTGTTGATGTATGACGATAAAAGACGAACCGTTTGTAGATCAACCTGCAAAGAAAAGAGACGAGCTTTCAGTACGATTCAAAATATTAAACAAGGACTATGTATATATTATTATTATTATTTTAAGTTTAAAAGGCCTTGGCAGCTCTCCCCAACGGAAAGCAGTCAAACACCACAGAGAAAACACCTTTATCACAATCGACAAAAGAAAAAAAAAGTTTTTTCCACTTAATTTAGAGTGACGGATATTTTCTTCGGTAAACTTTGAAACACGTAATGAAGTATTTTACCGAGTTACAGGATCCATGATCGTTAGTGCTAGGTATAACGCGGGAAAGTTAGAAGTTCAGCCAACTACCTACCTAATGTCACTTTCTTTTCACCAAGAAGTTCACTGGTTCAACTGGGTAAAATCGCCCTTTTTATACCCGAGTGGAGAAGCCACGAGATGGGCTGGTTCCCAGGCTTTGACGGGTGCTGCCGTAAGCTACCTGGAACCAGGTCGTCAGATAACGAATGAAACTCCTCCCGCCCACGACTACGGTGAAACATAATTAGACTTAATGTTGCACTGTCTCTATACTTTAGCCCTTGTTTTTCTTTCAGTGAAAAATACCTTTCTGATATTTTAATTAAAACCGTTGTGTTATGGTTCAGAGTTTTAGTATTAAGCCAACATTAACACATACGAATGTTTATAGAGAAAATAAATTAACTAAAAATTAAAATTGTAATTTTTTTTTTTCAATAGTACTTGTTTTATTTTATCATATATAAACTATCTATATCACCGGCATTTCTTTAAAAAAACTTGAGGAACACTGTTACTGTTTTGTGTCTTAGAATCTGACTTTTTTCGTAATAAAAAG